ACCATAATGCTAACCTTATGATTCCTTAATGTATACATTAAGGGATATATATATATATATATATTATATATATATATATATATATAGTATTCGACAGGTAAGAGGATGTGTGCCTTCCGCTTCATTTCCTGCTCCTTGTTTGCTTGTGGGCTTAAAGCAGATTAACCCAACCTATTATCCATTCGATTTTAGTTATATATATGTTATGTACACATTAAGTAATCATAAGGGGTACCAGGTATGGGTCAAGTCATTGGACACTAATTCAATGCACATTCTTCTAGTACAAAACATACTTTTCAAATCAGATCTTTCAGTATACAAAACTAGAAACTTCCCAGTAAAGGGTTTAATCCATTTTATTAAACCAATGTAGACTTAAAGGACTTTAGGTGATTGACTCTATAATACATTAGTTTATACATCATGTTTATATATCATTAATACCCAATAGGTAGTTGGATGTGTGCTTTCCGCCTTATTTCCTGTTCCTTGTTTGGTTGTGGGCTTAGGGCAGATTCACCAAAACGAACTATCTATTCGATATTGGATTATATATAGCCAGTATAAACTAAGTAATTATATAAGTAATCACTGTGTTCACTATTTTACTATAAGAAATAAGGGTTTTCTTAAAGAATCTTTTCATAACATATAAAGGAACTATTACAATCAACTCCATGAGTAACAAACGAATACACCAGAGTTATATACAACAAGGACCTAACAAACAATGGGATGTGCGCTATCCGCTTTACTTCCTATTCCTTGTTAGGTTGTAGAATTAGGGTAGAAGCGCACAGTCGATTGTTTGTTTACTTCGAGTTTTGTATAACTTGTATTCATTCAATACTCATAGAAAGGATTGTAGAATCATTTTTACTTATCTTTCATCTAAGTAGGAAATATAAGATTTTCTAGAGGAACAGGCGAAATTTTCTAAAAACAGAACTTATAACTTGCTTCATTTCAACTATATTTTTCAACAACTTTCTACAACTTACATACATCACTAAAATCTTATGAACTCGCCTACTTAATTGCTGACCAACTCTTTTAAATAACTTGTATTCTCAGGAAACTAGTAGACAGGTACTCGCGCTGGGAATTCAGAAGATGAAGTTGTATAGCTTCAAGTCTTGTTTTGTTATTTGTTTACGTACTCTATGTTTTGTGAACACATACCTTGTAAACACTTTCTTTCTAATAAATGGTTGTTTATTTCTTCGCTTACTATAATGCATGTCTTGTGATACTAAACATGACATCCTCCACCCCCGAACGTTTCCTCCGTTCCGGTTTTGGGGTGTGACACATAGGATGTACCCTCACTCTAAATAAATCCTCTTTAAAAAATTGACCTGATGCCGGTCATAATAAAAAGTTTCAACGTCATCATTGGCATGGTTGGTTAAGTCCTCACCATGCCAATGTCATGTTTTACAAAAAATTCATTTGCCTAAATCTGCCAAGTAACGAAACCCTCGTCATTTGTGGCGATAAACCTAACACAAACCTCCAAGCTAAGCTATCAATTGCGCGCTATAGCGGTGCTATAGCGGCGCTATAGCGTTTTGCGGAGGTCAGGAACCGCTATTTTCAACTTAGCGTTTTCATTTTGCGGTACCGCTATTAGCGGCGCTATTCACCGCTATTTACCGCTATTTCAATAACCGCTATAGCGGCGCTACGGGTGCTATTCCATTTTCATTCACATTTTGGGTCATTTGGTTACTTTGTCAATGAAAAACTAGTTTTAATGATCTCAGTACACTTTCATTTTAAAATACCCAAACAACTAACATAATTAAAAGCATTCAAAACAATTACGTAAACCGACAACTCTCTTTCTCATCTCTTTCTGTACTCACGACGACTTGAGCTGCTATGGTCGGACTCCATTAATGCTTTTTATAAATCGACCCACACCTATGAGGCTACGGCTTGAGACTTAACTCTTTATATCAACCATGACCTACTAATACGATATTGAACACGGGCAATGCAATTAAACTCTATTTGACACTTTGACACTACCTAGTTTCTATATTACTATAATAGAATATCATGTTATGTTTTTATATGACTTTTTAGGTTTATGATATTAATTCTATATAGACTTATAGTATTAATACTCAAATATATATAACTTCTATATAAATATAATATAATATTATAAATTATACGTAATATTAAAAAACCGCTATATCACCGCTATACCTCCGCGATAACCGCGATCTCAAATAGCGGCATGTGACCGCTATTGAAATTTTGACCGAGATAACTGCATAGCCTCCAAGTCATCTCTTGTGTCAAGGCTCAAAGGTACCAATGCAAGGAATACCATGCTTTCTTAGCCAACATGGTAGATGAGAAACTAGAAGTGAAAGACATCAAGGATATTCCTAAAGTCTGTAATTTCCCCGACATATTTCCCAAAGATCTTCCAGGAATACCTCCCGAACGCCAAGTCGAGTTCAGAATTGACTTGACTCCCAAAGCTACCCCCATAGCCAAATCCCCAATATCGTTTAGCACCGGCAGAAATGCAGGAAATTTCCAGTCAACTGAATGAACTACTTGGTAAATGGTTCAACAGACCAAGCTTCTCACCTTGGGGAGCACCGCTTTTGTTCGTGAAGAAGAAGGATGGATCATTCCGCGTGTGCATAGAATACTGGGAACTAAATAAACTCACCATAAAAACCGATATCCTTTACCTTGAATCGACGATCTATTCGACAAACTTCAAGGAGCAAGCTATTTTTCAAAGATTGACCTAATATCCGGGTACCATCAAATACGAGTCCAGAAGGAAGATATTCCCAATACTGCATTCAAAACTCGCTATGGTCACAACGAGTTTGTAGTGATGCCCTTCGGATTAACTAA